GGGAGGACGGGAACAGAACGAAGGTGAACAACCCGTGATCAAATGTACAACAGCGTGCCAAGGCAGAAACGTAGGCACAATGCACAACGCATCTCCCAAGCGTACGGACATGCACACACACAAGCAAACGACACACACCACACACCACACATACACACACGCACACATCCCGCAACAAATCTCCACCCCGCTTCCACCTCAACGTACAGCTCGTGTGCGACGACGAGGGCAACCCACTGCTGGTCGCTGGCAGCGCTCTGGGTGCCGTTGTACAGGAGGGCTGTCTCGCGGTATGTGACCAGCCCCCAGTTCACACACACACACACACACACACACACACACACACACACACGCACACTCTTCCTTGACTCGCCCACAAACAACTCATGCACACACACACACACACACACACACACAAACGTGACCCTTTGCGCACCGTACCCTTGATGCTGATGTCGATGGACTGCCAGAGCTGCTCGGAGACGGCATTGCTGTATTTGTATGTGTTCATGTACAGCTGCAATGCACCAAAGAGCTCCGTCGATCCAATCACTTGCTCCAGCATCCGCAGCACGCTTCCGCCCTGAACAGCAGCGTATGTATGTTTGTGTGTGTGTGTGTGTGTGTGTGTGTGTGTGTGTGTGTGTGTGTGTCAGCAAGGCAAAGTCCATGTAACACCAGAGAGCACGCCTGACCCGCATGCAGCTGCCACCTTTTCGTAAGAGATGGTGTCGAATCTTGCGTCAATGTCGTTGCGCGAAATCACTTCATCTGCGGGCGAGTGCAGCGCGTGTGTGCCCGTCACAGAGTCGGCTGCGCGGGCCACCTCGCGTGTGTCCGCCGGAAACTGGTGCCACATTTCCCAATCGGGAAACAGATGCGCCACGCCCGCCGTCTCCATAAACGTCGCAAATCCCTCTGCAGTTATCCATGGCATGCACCGCACGTAGGTGAGAAAGAGAGAGGCAAGCGCGCGACCTTGTGTGTGTGTGTGTGTGCGTGTGTGTGTATGCGTGTGTGTGTAAATGTGTACGCGTGTGAATGTGTGTGTGTGTGTTCATGTGTCTACGGTTTCATGTGTATGTTCATGCATCTGTGTGTACACACCGTTGAGCCAGAGATCGTTCCACCACTCCATTGTCACGAGGTTTCCAAACCACTGGTGTGCGCTGGGAGGACGGGAACAGAACGAAGGTGAACAACCCGTGATCAAATGTACAACAGCGTGCCAAGGCAGAAACGTAGGCACAATGCACAACGCATCTACCAAGCGTACGGACATGCACACAAACAAGCAAACGACACACACCACACACCACACATACACACACGCACACATCCCGCAACAAATCTCCACCCCGCTTCCACCTCAACGTACAGCTCGTGTGCGACGACGAGGGCAACCCACTGCTGGTCGCTGGCAGCGCTCTGGGTGCCGTTGTACAGGAGGGCTGTCTCGCGGTATGTGACCAGCCCCCAGTTCTCCATTGCGCCGGCGGCAAAGTCGGGAATGGCGATGAGGTCCAGTTTGGGCAGCGCATACGGGATGCCAAACACAGACTCGTAGTACTCGAGCACGCGCGTGGCCACGGACAGCGAGAACGGCGCGTCTTGGATCTGGTGGCGTGAGGTGGTCATGGGGCGGTCGTGCGTGAGGGATGATGATGGTAGTGGTGATGATGATGATGATGATGATGATGATGATGATGATGATGGTGGTGGTGTGTGTGTGTGTGTGTGTGTGTGTGTGTGTGTGTGTGTGTGTGTGTGTGTGTGTGTGTGTGTGTGTGTGTGTGTGTGTGTGTGTGTGTGTGTGTGTGTGTGTGTGTGTGTGTGCGTGGTCGTGGTTGGCGTTTGCGCAAACTGTGTATGCTATGACCCTGCATCCTCGAGCACAACTGCCAGCTGCTGCACCTGATCGGCGGGGGCGAACACGCGAATGGGGACGTTTGATGTTGTCGTGTCTGCGATGGAAACAAAGTCGCAAATCACCAGCGCGACTGACGCAACACCACGCACATTAACATGCACATGTGGGTTTTGTGAGGTGCAAGCAGATACCATGCAACACACACATACAGTAGTAGCAGCGCCACACAGGTGCCCGCGCCCCAACACCACACCCCTTCGTTCACAAAGCGCAACGTGCACACCCCTCGCCCACTATCTGATTTGCTCCCCACCACCACCACCTCACCCAAGTATGTTGACATGCGAGGGGTGGACTGGAAGTGCACCACGCCTGCCTGTGCCTGTGGGACATCAACAGCAGGCGGCATGTTGGAGAGAGCAATGTACCCTGCGGGCTTGTACGTGGCAATTGTGAACTCCGCCTTAAACCCGGGCTCGTCGAAGCAGGGGAACGCCTTGCGTGCATCTGGTGACGGTGGAATGGGGGGGGGAGGTTACGGTTTTGTGAAAGGATGGGCGAGCGAGCAAGGGTAATATGAACGTTTCGATGGATGCACAGAATACAGACACATACACTGTCACGCGCACACACACACACACACACATGCACATGCACGCGCATAGTGGCTCGAATATGCGGTAGCGCACGAACATACACACATGCACACACACGCACACACATGCACACACACATGCACACGAACACACACACACGTACACACCAGTACACACATGCACACACACATGCACACGAACACACACAAAAGCATGAACACAACAGGTTCACACGGCTTGAGCGCTTACCGAGCGCCTCCATCTGTGTTGTGAGGATGGTTCTGTTTTGGCCGGCGGCGGTGGTGTATGTGCTCTTGTACAGACCAGCAAGGTCGCCCGTCACATTGTAGGTGAAGTCAAAGTGGAGCGAGTACAGGCCTGGCACGATGGGTGAGGTCGGGTGCAAGGCGAGCAGCTCGTTGGCCGTCGTCAGCTCCTTGATGTCAACGACGCCGTTGTTGCTGAGATCAAGCACGCTGTACCCTAATGGAAGCGGAGCAAGGGAGAGGTCATGGAATGACATATGGGATGATGGACGGTACGGCTTTCATCATCACCGGACACACACACACGCACACACACACGCACACACACACACACACAAACACACACACACACACACAAACACAGGCACAGGCACAGGCACAAACACAGACACAGGCACAAACACAGACACAAACACAAACACAAACACACACACACATGACCTGTGACGTACCAGTAATGTCCATTTCAAAGGCGTGTAGGACAATGAACTTGGACATGGCAGTCACGTTGACGGTAATGTCGACGGCACCAGACACGTTCAAGTGCTCAATGCTCGGTGTCAGTGTGATGTTGTACGTCTGTTGATGAGCAAATGGCGAAGAGCATTCAAGCCATGTGCCATGAGAAGAATTGAAACGTCACTATTATGGGCGGTGATAGCACACATACGCCTTGTGACGACACACACAAAGCAACACACACACACACACACACACACACACACACACACACACACACACACACACACACACACACACACACACACACACACACACACACACACACCATTGGCTTCACTGTTGTGGGAAGGCGGTCCACGTCCCACGCAGGCCGGCTTGACCCTACCAATGCAAACGACAGCAAGAACCAGTAATGTAACAGCAACCACAACAAGGTGAGTGTGTGTGTGTGTGAATGGCAAACAAGGGCATGGGTGGACGAAAGGCCGAGCTCACCAAACAACCAAGGAAGCAAGTAAGTGAGCGTCCACCCTGACTTCTTTCCGCACACTGGACCACGCACGTTTGTGGGCAGTGAGGGCGCCGGCCAGGATGATGGCGATCAGCGTTGTGAATGCGATCAGGTACACGTAGTTCATGCGATCCAGGTTCTTCCAGTACCACAGGGTGCCTAGAGACGGGGATGGGAAGGCAGCAAAGAGGAGAGATGAGAGGGAGGGCACATACATGTGACGATGGCAAAGCGGAGATGGGGAGAACAACCACACAAGGTCATATACACATACAATCGTGAGACAACCCACAATGACAAGAAGAACAACGCTTGTCTGCGTGCACTCTGGCTGGTAGTGCTCAAGTGGGTTAAACGTACAGCACTTTGTCTTCTCGTGGCGGCGGGCTGCATCCTCGGCCGTGATCCACGCCCGCTCGTCCTGGTACGCAGCATCCCTCGCCATGGCTCAAGCTCAGCAGTGGACTCTGTGTGCAAGAGTGCAGTGCAGTGCGTGCTTGTTGTGGGGATTGTGTGTGTGTGTGTGTGTGTGTGTGTGTGTGTGTGTGTGTACGTGTTTTGTGCCTTATCTTCTCTTCCTTCCACACACACACACAAAAAAAAAAAAACCAATCAAAGCACAACGAGACGACAACAAGACAACCACGGCGACGATGGACGGTGATGAGTGGCAGGAGCTGTACTGGGCGAAGCGGCAGCTCAAGAAGCAACGCAGACACCACCACCCTCATGGGCGGAGTGCAGAGGACTCGCTGCGCAGCGCGCTGAGTGCTTCGACCCCGCACCTTGCACGCGCAGGCGTCAGCAGGCACGGGTCGTCCTCGTCGTCGCACGGTGGTGGGTACGACACCGCCCCTTCCGCATGGCACCGGCAACAGATGAGGTCGCTGGCGGCGTCGCCCGTGGCCGGATCGCCGCAGCACCGGAGCAGGGCCACAACGTTCAAGCAGCACACCCTCTTTGCAGATGCAGAGGCCAATGACATTGAGGACTGCTTCCACCTCATGACAGAGTATGGCGCGAACGTGAACGAGGTGCATCCTCGCACGCGGCAGACGGCCCTGCACGTCGCCTGCATCCACGGCTCCTTCGAGGTTGCCACACAGCTCATCAACCACAAGGCAAACGTCGACCTCATGTAAGCAGGCCACACAGTATGTGCGAGTGTGTGGGCGTGATTGGCTGGATAGATGCTGGTGCTGATATCACACCAGGGGTTCACTCACTCTTGTTGTGTGTGCATGTGTGCGTATCTGTGTGCATGTGTGCGTATCTGTGTGCATGTGTGTGCGTATGCATGTGTATATCTGTGTGCGTGTATTTGTGTTTGGATAGGGATGGCACAGGCATGACGCCTCTGATGCTGTGCTTGAAGCACCGGAAGCGTTACTATCTTGAAATCGCACAGCTGCTCATCGCTGCGGGCTGTGATGGTGCGTGTCGGTGCGTTGGTGCGTTGGTGCATTGGTGAGTGCATAGCACCACATTGCTATTGGTGAAGGCACACACGCACACACACGCACACACACGCACACACACACATATATGTACACATGCACACAAGTCAACAGTTGGCCTCACCCCGCGCTCGCACCGCCCGCTCCCGCTTCCATTTCCCTCTTTTTTTTTTGCAGTGAATGCGACAAACGCGTTTGGGCGGAGTGCGCTGTACTTTGCCGTGCGCAACAAGGACAAGAAGGCCGTTGAGATGCTTGGGGAGAACAGCGTACCCGGCGCCCTCGCAGCCGCGCTTGCCCTCGGTTACAAGCACATTTTGCACTCGCTTGAGCAGCAGAACCTGGAGCGAAGCGTGCATGCAGCCGTCGGCACAACACCGCCGCACCAACAATCGCAGCAGCAGCAGCAGCAGCAGCAAGAGCAACAGCAGCAACCACTACAACAGCCATCTCACGACTCCCAGCAGCAATCACAACAGAGGCAGCAGCAGCCTCATGCGTCAAGAGAAGATCAGCGATCAACAAGCACAGGTCCAGCTCACACGGCTGAAGCCACTCCCACGCGGTCAGGCAACAGCTTCCATGCCAATGACGATGACGATGACGATGACGATCAAGTGTTGATTAACGTTGGGGATGATGGAGACCTTCCGGAGATTACAGATGCGGTTGAACCGCCCGAACACCACCACAACAACGACAACGACAACAGCAATGGCGATGATGGTGGCGACGATGGTGGTGGAGAGCAGGCGCTGACGTAAAGTGAACTGGAAGCCTGGGTTGTGTTTTGTTGTTTCGTTGTTTCGTTGTTTCGTTGCGTCGTTCTATTCGTGGAATACTATACATCCTAGCACACACACACACCACATGCACACTTCAGTCCACCTATCATTACATGAAACCATGACGTCTCCGTTCATTTCCAAGCACAACAACAACACCAATGCGTTTTCATCAACGACATGCCTGCAAGCAAACGGGTGGGAGCTTCGAGGGGAACAAACACGCAACACGTCACACCAACAAGAATCTGTGTGTGTGTGTGTGTGTGTGTGTGTGTGTGTGTGTGTGTGTGTGTGTGTGTGTGTGCGTGTGTGTGTGTGTGTGTGTGTGTGCGTGCATCCCGCAATCGCACGCTCAGCGTGTACATGTGCACACCACAAGATAACTACAACCGCGTTTCACTATCACTATCATCATCGTCGTCACCACCATCGGCAGCATCGTCATGTGCCCAGGCCTGGAGTGGCTTGCAGCCGCTGTTGTGGTCATATGAGCGGTTTTGCACAAACGTCAGCCGCCCACCGTGCCCCACTGCCGAGAACGACGACGATGGTGATGGTGATGGGGATGTCGATGGGTTGGTTGGCAGTGGAACAGCAGCTGCTGTGGCTGCGGCGCCCAATGTCTCCCGCTATTGCACAACACAGGAGACGTGGGGAAGGTGAGATGGTTAGACGCAGGGGAGGGTGTGTGTGTGTGTGCGTGTGTGTGTGTGTGTGAGAGAGAGAGTGAGAGAGAGAGAGAGAGAGTGTGTGTGTGTGTGTGTGTGTGTGTGAGAGAGAGTGAGAGAGAGAGAGAGAGAGTGTGTGTGTGTGTGTGTGTGTGTGACGTCGCACTTGCGCCACCACTTCCCCTTAATTTCCCCGCAACCATTGCGCAACTGACGATGGCGGTGAGACGGGCGAGGACGTGGTTGCATGTTGGTCGCGTGTCCGGGTCAATTGTCCAGCAGCTCTTCATCACATCGTAACTAATCGGCCGGGGGGTGTTCGTTAAATGAGTGCATGTGCATGTGCGTGTGCGTGCATGTGCATGTGCATGTGCATGTGCGCGCGTGCGTGTTAGTGTGTGTGCATATGCGTGTGTGTGTGTGTGTGTGTGTGTGTGTGTGTGTGTGTGTGTGTGTGTGTGTGTG